ACCACAAAAGAACTATGTGCGACACACCAGTAAAAAGTTATAGCCTATATAAGTTTACCCATAATGCCATTGGGCAATTTTCTTCATATTTCAACTTTAACGTCTTTAATAATGATAAACCGCTAGATATGATATATTGTCGTAATTGTCTAAACCCCTGGATTCATATTATAGCAAAAAACAGGGGGGCCAAAAACGACACCACGACCCACCTGAACAAGACGAAACAAGACTCCCTGGGTAAAAGCACCCCTCTGTTTGCTCTGGGTGGCTTGGCCGGGGTCCTGATGCAGGAGAACAAACAGGGTTAGGGTTAGGGTTAGGGTTAGGATTAGGGTTAGGGTTAGGAGTTGAAGAAAAGAAAGTCGCCGTAGGCGACTGGGGCTTTGTGCACAGACTCTCCTGCACTTAGTCCACCGGTGCAGATCTATCCCTCATTCAAACCTGTGGGAACAAGTGTGTCCAATCTGTAGATCCAGAGCCGTTCAGCTCTTTTCTGTTGTTTTGTGGACCAGTTTGGATCTGACTGTAGGATCATGGCTGTGAGGGCTTGCCAGCCATGTTCAATAAAGTGTTTGACTACTGGTCGCTGTGTGTTATGGCTTTTTGTAATGTTGTGTCTGTGTTGTGTGAAGCATGTTAAAATGGTATTTCCTGTTTCTCCCACATATCTCATTTTACAGATTTTGCACTGAATTAAATACACAGTTTTTGGTTTTAGGGTTACCTGCTTGTGTGATGGGATAAACGGTTTTGTAAAACCTGTTTTGTATCCAGCGCAGTTGGTTAAAAAAATCACTTTGACCTTTGACCTTAGGTTGTTGTAGGGGTCTCAGCTTGGCCTGAACCAGAAAATCTTTTAGGTTTTGGTTCCGTCTGTAGGCCGCAATTACCCTGTGATTTTGCAGTAAGTTAGTCTCTGATTGGAATTTAGAAAAGTTTTGTTTGATTTTATGAATTAGTTTTCCTGCCGAGGGAGAATAAGTGGTGACCAAAGGCAATAATGGTGATGTGTCCTTGGGTCTGGACTCCAGGAAGGAAGCTTTACATGTTTTCAGAAATGCTCTAGAATATCCTCTTAAGGATAGTGCTGAAAACAGTATCCGAGTGGCTTCCTTGAAGTCGCTTTCCTGAGTGCAGATTCTGTGGAAGCGAAGTAGCTGGGATTTAATAAGACCCGCATATGTGTGCTTTGGATGGTAACTGGTTTTAAAAAGCAACGCGTGTGTGTCCGTAGGTTTAAAATAAACCTTTATGTCAAGTTTGTGTGTGGAGCTGAAATTTGGGCCTTTAAAGGTTGTGGTGTCTAAAAAATCGACTGATTTAGCATTGGTGGATGATTTCAGCTTTATGGATGGGTTATGTGTATTAAGCGTGTTTAGAAATAGTTGAAAGTCTTCCTCCGAGTGAGTCCAGACCCCCCAGATGTCATCTAGATATCTGTAATAATAAAGTGGTTTCTTTACACATTTGTTTAATGCCTCCGTCTCCCATTGTGCCATGAAGATATTTGCATACGCTGGAGCAAATTTCTTCCCCATCGCTGTTCCCTTAATTTGCAGGTAGAATTGGCCATCAAATTCAAAATCATTCCTTCTCAGATTAATTTGTAATAGCCTGAGTAGCTCCTTGTCTGGCCTTCTGCTGTTGGGGTGTTTAAGGAGAATTTGTTTGACTGCATTAATGCCTTCGGTTATGTCAATGTTTGTATATAAGCTGTCTATATCCATGGTGAACAGAATGGAGTTGTCTGGCAGGATGATTTGTTTGATCTTGTTTATAAAGTCATACGTGTCCTTGATGTAACTCTCATGCATTATTGATAGGGGATTTAAATAGTGATCGATGAATTCTGCTGTTTGATATGTTTCACTGTTGCAGTCAGACACGATGGGTCTACCCGGTGGGATCTCATGGGGTTTACTCCATTTTGCTGGTTCCTTGTGGATCTTCGGTAACAGATAGAACCTTCTGGCTCTTGGTTCCGAAGAGCCTTTAAGATATCTGCGCTGTTTTACATTAATAAACCTTTTCTCATACAAAGAGTCAATGATTTTAGTCACCATGGGGATGGTCTCTGGATAAATGGGTTTGTCTAGTTTATTGTAATAGGTGGTGTCCAGCAGTTGTCTTTTACCTTCCCAGAGATATTGTGCCCTGTCCATGATGACAATAGAGCTCCCCTTATCAGCCGGCTTGATAATAATGTTCTTGTTGCCTGTTAGTTCCTTGAGTGCTTTGGTTTCGTTAATACTCAAGTTAGGTTTGGACTTATTCATGTAAAATGTTTTGTTGAAATAACCAAGATCCTCCTCAATAAGTGAGTTAACTTCTGGCGGCAGAGTGCCAGCAGGGGGCGCCCATTCTGATTCTGGCATGAAAGGTTTTGGTTTACCTGTTTTAGCTGTACCATCTTCCTTAAAATGAACAGCTAATTTGATTCTCCTATGGTATTTTTGTAAATCATGTCTGATCTGAAGCACTGTGTCATTGTTTTTAGCTTTGCTGTGAGAGGGGATGAAGGTTAAACCCCTGTTTAACAAAGAACGCTGTGCGTCAGACAGTACAAAAGATCTGGACAAATTACAAACATTGTTATTAACAATGCTTCTATGCCCTTCATGTCCTGGTAGGCTATCAGGGCTGCCTATTTTAACCAGGCAGACCAGAGGTCCCACATCCTGGCAGCCGTGAATCTGGTCCAATGGACCTTGTCTGGTTTAACCCTGAAAAAGGCAGCGTCCTGGGCAGGGATGAACCTGTTGAGCTGAGAAATGTGAATATTGAGATGTGTGAGCATGGCTTGCTCCCTGTGTGATAAGGAGGGAGAAAAGTTCACCACAGGAACAAAGATCTCAGCATTAGGACATTTAAGTTTGGCTACTTTAAGGGCAGTTTGCATTTCCTTAACCAAAGCCCTTTTGTCCTTCTGTGTTCTGTTGTTGATACCAAATGAGAGGACCAGTGTCTCTACCTGCTCCATTTGTCCAGATTTGAGGAACAGGCTGGTCACATGTCTCCACTTGGCTCCCGGAAAACTGTCCACCTGGATGTTGTTGCTACAGTCCCCTGTCACAGGTAGGTGTGCAACATTCGAGTCCCCCAGAACCACATATTTTTTTCTCAGGTTAAGTGACCAGTCTCGTGATTTTTTACCAGTGTTTGTGTGTCTGGTTGTGGCATTTACCTGAGATGAAGGTGATTCATCAGGCCCGGTGGGGGTGGTGGCGGTGGCTGCGGTGAGCGGTGGGTGAGTCGTTTGCTGGAAGGAAAGTTGCCTCTGTGTGCTCTTTTCCATCCGGCGACGGAGGGCGACAGGCGTAGGTTCCAGCAGTGGTGGAGCAGAAGCAGCAGGTAGTGGGTGTGAGCGCATCATTGCTTCATAAGCAAGGAATTCGTCTATGATGGTCTGTTCCTCTGCTGTCACGCCGCGGGGTCGAGGCGGAGACTCCATCACGACTGAAGGGGAGGATCCTGTTGTCCTCTGCGTGTACGTTTCCTCCTGGCTGGATGATTTCCGCTGCCTTTGGGGAAGAGCCGGCGTCTGTGGAGTGCTGCGTGCCTGGGGTGATGGTGTGGGTGGTGCTGCTACAGCTGGAAAGAGGGGACGGCTGCTGTGTCGTTCCTCGTTGGATGCTGCAGGTGACCAGTCCCCTCTGGATGGTTCCGTCATCGTTGCCACTGTTGTCCTGTGGGGTGGTGGCGGTGAAGGTGGGGGGGCCGGAAGAGGAGATTGTGATCTCACGGAGCCCCTGGGAGCGTAGGGAGAGGATGCATAAACGGAAAGTTCATCCTCACTCTGCCCCCTGTGTTGTTGGGAGTGCGGAGGGGGCGTGGTCTGCGTGGAGGACTCAAGAACAGATGTACGTTCATCAGGTTCACCATTTTCCGATGAGGGAGTTGCTGGTTCTTGTGAGTCCTTTTTCTCATCCGACATCAGGAAGACCTGCACCTCTTCCACCGATTCTGGTCTGAAACGTCTCCCCAAGTTCCTTCTGGCCCATTTAGTGGCTATTTCTAATGGAGCCAGTAGGTTTCCCCCAAGATCTTGCAAAGTGCGTTTTTCTGACTCCATCTGATCTTGGTAGTGTTGTCTAAGGATCAGCATGGTGGTGTAGGCCCACGATCTCGCATTACCATCTATTAATGTGGAAGTTCTGGTAGATGGAGCCGCGGGTTTGATGATCGTGGCCAAGTACGCGGTTATGTTTTGAATGCCGGGTGGGTTATTGTCCTTATCCGACACATTTTTAAGTGATGTGCTGCTTTAAGAAGTCTGTGCATGGTTCTGACCTTTATTGTGAAGTCTGGGTCATCAGATCTTTGTGGCGCCTCTGACCGGTTTCGGGTCTGTGCGCCCTGCTGCGCGTACTGTCCCTGTGGGGGTCGCCGAGCGCGTTTCTGTTGTCGGTACCAACCCTGGGGTCCTTGGTTCTGGTACCGCTTATTGAAGCCCCTACTGCGGCTCCTGGAGGGTTGGAATGGACGCTGGGGGTAAGAGGGACCGTACCTGGCGGCTGACGCGTAAGACTTGCGTCTCTGGGGGTACCGCTGGGGGTACTGCGACTGCCAGCTGCGGTCCTGTTGATAGCGAGGCCGTCGTTGCTGGGGAGAGTGGCGTCGTTGGAAACGTCCTCTATTCTGCTGGTTCCACTGAACGTCCCGTCGTCTTCCCCCTCGGTAGCGAACCTGTGTCCAGCCCGACTCCTCCTCCATCTCATCCGGTGGGAAATAGTCCCACGTCATTCCGGAGATGTCTGGTAGTTAAAAAACAGGTGCTAAACTAACTAACTGTGTAGCTAACTATCTAAAAAAACAAGTGGAATTAAATGAAAGAACCGAAAAACTGCGGCTTAAAATGTTGGCAACTGGCCATTTATTGAACAAACGTGAAAAAGTTAACTGGAACAAAGAAACAAAATATTTACAAAAAACAAGCTCAACGCTACGTTTCGACTCCTCAATGAGTCTTCATCAGGCTAAGAGCTTGTAAAAGCGCATAGAACCTTCTCTTGTCGTCGAAGTTCGGCCCAGAATGGCTGTGTTCTGTAGCTGTGTCCGAATCCAGGGGTAGGATGCTTGTGAGTACGGGTCCTCGCCGGTTTAGCAAGGCCGGGTCCTTGCTAGACCGCTAAAACCGGAAGTCAGCGGCTCTGAATTCGGACAGTACTAGCCTCGTTTTTATTCCCGCCCCCAGGTCCAGTTGCTTAGCTACCGTGACGGCGTCAAACAGGCTAACAAGCTAACAAGCTAGTCAGAGGTGAAAATGGATCCACAGCAGTATTCCCTTTTATTTTTGGTTTTTGAGGAGCTGCGACTGCTTAGTAAACGTCACCGGCCTTTGTATTTAAGGCTGAGAAGCAGCCATATCCAGGTAAAATTAATTTTTGTTTAGTGAACCAGCTTTCAGGCATTACATGTTAACTTTAGTGCTAGTTTCATTTATATTTTAAGCAACAGAAAGACGTGGCTGAATATACACATTAGTATAGAGTAGACTAACATGCATATAGTTAATTTAACCTATATTCATCAAAAATAATTAATGGAATGACGTTTTAGAAGTTTGTATTTGATCATAATGTTTGGTTCTGTGCATAAATGTCATAGTAAAAGTAGCATTACAATGTGTTTAATGTGTATTGTCCTTTTCAACTTATGCCTAATAATGCCTAGCTCTCTTCTAAAAATCTCAAGCATTTATACAGTTTTTTTTTTATTGTTTTATTGTTCTCTACTTTTCTTTTAACAGAACAGACCCCTGTACTGTAGGATTAACATGAGTGTGCCAGTCCTGGACCGGTTTTTTAACCAGGAAGATCCCAGGCCAGATTTTCGTCTGAGCAGGGAGTCTTTTGTGGTGTTGCTAAATCTCCTGAACCAAGATCGGCGACATGGTTGGGGTGCCACAATCGAGACCCTGGTGTTTCTGTTCTGGTTGGCAAGTGGAACATCCTACAGGGTGGTCTCAAGAGTATTTGGGATGCCTCGCTCAACTGTCCACGACATCGTCCATCGAGTCACGGAGGATGTGGTCGCAGTCCTCCACCAGGTCATTCACCTCCCCAAAACCCCAGAGGAGATGGAGGTTGTGTCTCGTGGGTTTGCTGGGCTGGCTCGACACAGAGCTTTCATGAAAGCAGCAGGTGCGATCGACGGCTGTCACATTCGGATCAAGGCTCCGAGCGGTCCTGATGGCCAGTGCTACAGAAACAGGAAACTGTTCCCATCTATCATCCTGCAGGCAGTTTGTGACCATCAGGGCCGCTTTATCGACACCTATGTGGGCTGGCCTGGGTCGGTCCACGACTCCAGGGTCCTCCGGCACAGCCCACTGTACAGGCAGTCAGCCTATCCTCCTCCAGGGCACTTCATCCTCGCGGATGGAGGGTACCCATGCCTCCAACATCCACTCCCCCTCATCACCCCCTACAAACGGGTGGTTCAAGGTGTGGGAGCTCAGCGCTTCAACAGCCATCATTCCAGGGCACGCTGCATCATCGAGCGTGCTTTTGGAATGATGAAGACCAGGTTCAGGACCATCTTCCTGAAAGCGCTGGAGGTCCACCACACCTTTGTACCTCATGTAAGTTAACACAAAGTGGAAATAAACTTTGGGTGTAATCTTTGTTTGGGAATGAAATATAAATTAAATTTTTATCTCTATTACAGGTCATCACAGCATGCACCATCCTGCACAACATCTGCCTCAGTGCTGGTGACATTGTGGTGCAGGACGATGAACTGGAGGATGATGCTCCAGAAGATGAGGGGGAGGCTGGTTTGGAGGCAGTCAGTGGTGCCCTCTGGCGGGACCAACTTTCTGCTGAGGTGTCTGCTCTGGAGGAAGTACCACCAGATCACAATTACTGTTAACAGGCAAGTAATTTACGTAGGAATCTCTAGTTTAAACATCATTTAGTCCTGTTATCTGCTAGAGTTACAAGTATTATACTCATGATCTCCTTTTTTGCATATATCTGAATGTTAGTGATGTGACAGCCGTCGATTGAGCCAGCCCAGCAAACCCTTTTGATGGACGATGCAGTGGTCAGTGAGATGAGGCATCCAGAAGCACCCTCTGCAGACCACTCTGTCTGATGTTCCACTTGCCAACCAGAAACGTTCAGCCACGGATCCCGGTTCCTGCACTCCATCCACCTCGATGATCCATGTTTAGTAGATTTAGCAACACCACCAAAGACTCCCTGCTTTCCAAGTTTACTGTATATATTTTACTTTTATCTTTACCTTTATTCCTTACAGTGTTCCCTTACAATTTATTTACTATGTTGTTACTTGTTAAAAACTGAATAATAAAACTGTTAATGATCAAAAAAGAGTTATCAATTTATAGAAATTTTATTACATTTAAACAAATAACAAAAACATTCAAACACATATATAGAACCTGAACCAGAAGAAACTAAAAGAAAAAAACTCCATTTCTCTGCCATCCTTTCCATCAATGCTAAAAATCTGTCCATCCTTCTTTCTCTCCTCTCCTCCGCTTCCCTCTGTTGTCTCATGTCCTCCCTGATCAGGGCAAGGAGCTCATCAGCCCTTCCCCTTTCTCCCTGATGAGGAGTCCGGCTTCCTTCCACCACTCTCCCTGTCCTCTGTCTCACCCACTGCTGCACTTGGCCCTGGAGTGTCCTCGGGAATGGAAGCAATAAGGACAGGAGGCATAGTGGAAGGCCTCTGTCCCAACACCTCGTCCATGGGGACAAACCAGGGCCAGGTTTCAGCAGTGGGCTTTCCGCTGACTCCCTCTCCTGACCCTGGATACTTGCAGTCCTACAGACAAAGGGAATTAGGATTACAAGGCTTTATTGTCATTTAACAACAGAGAACACTGTGGGCATAATGAAATTACAGATGCTCCTTAAAGGTACTGGTTCTGGATGAGAATAGAGAGGAATAGAAGAACAAAGTCAGATTATAAATCATAGTTGATAAAACATGGAATAAACAATATTTTAATTTATCAACATGGGAGATGAAAATTGTGTTCTGTGTTTTTTCCACCTAAAATGAAATTAAAAACATTAAATCAGTAATGTGGTTTCTTAATAATTAACTTAAATAAACATTAAACTTAGTTTTCGTTATTTTTGGCGTTCGTTACATGATTACATAAGATGCAAGCTCTTTTACGGTGAGTTTGTTCCTATTAGACTTTCAAGCTGGTTTTCGGTGGGGCATGTTTTAGCCTTAAATTACATGAAAAAAACAATTTGCGGTATTAGATTGTATATAAAAAACAAACCAAAAGTGCCCAAACACGTATTTTATTTTTTTGACCGCTATTTTTTTAACTAACTTACATTTTAAGCTGTGCTGCTGTCCCGCTCCGCCCGCCGTTGTTGCGAGTGTCGAGTCCAGCTGCCGGCGTGCAAAGCATGCTGGGATACCCTTGCGCCTGTGAGGATCCATCAGACCCATCCTCGAAATGTGGGTGGAGCGAGGACGCGTTTGAGGACGCGAGAATGAGGATTCTTGGAATTCGGACAGTACTCGTCGCTGCGCTTTGACGTCATCGACCTCAAAATGCGCACTCACAAGCATCCTACCCGTGGATTCGGACACAGCCTGTTTCTGACCGGTTTCATCTAGCGCACACCAGTTAACAAGCCTCAATTGGCTCTATTAGCACCTGTACTTGTGTCCAATCAAATTGAACAAATCCAGAGCGCCGCGGGAGTGATAGGACCATATTTAGAGTTCCGGTCCATACTCCCCCTAGTGTCCAAGAGAGCGCCTGGCACTTTTCACTAACAAGATTACATTTACAACATGTTATTACCATGAAAAATAGAGATAAATACAGACATAACGTATACAACACTTTGCATTCATGTGTTATATGAAAACAAACCTTCTGTGGGGCATGATAAAAAAGAAATTCAAATTCCAAGACATGAGATTCCCCACACTGGCTTTGTTCTATCTGACTGACTCCTTTCCCTGCTACATTTCTGATACACTCTTGCCCTCTAGTGGGCAAAACTGCGAACTACATGAGTCATCTGTAGCTGATTAGAAAATTAAGTTTAGGTGTGTCCTTTTAATCTGAACAATCCAACATCTGTGTGGGACTTAAGACCTGTCAACCAGGGCTTAAGACTTGCTGGCTGGAAGAGGCAATTGATGGTAAGATTACAAGGAATTTGTGTCAGATATTCCGGTTTTTAATGTCCAATATTGGTTAGGGTTAGGACAATCTACTCCACTGTTTAGGGTTAGAACAGGGGTTGGGGTTAGGTTAATTAATCTAATCTACTCCACTATTTAGGGTTAGAATAGGGATTGGGGTTAGGTTAAATAATCCAATTTACTCCACTATTTTAGGGTTAGAATAAGGATTGGGTTAGGATTAGATTAAAGAATCAATTTGTATTCTGAATCTTACAGATACTGCCCTCCTCCATGTCCAGCAGACTCCCCCTGTTGGCAGAACTGGATGGGTGAGTAATCAACAGATAAAGTCAGGGAAGAGGTAAGTCATGTACAGAAGAACACTTGTTTCATTTCTTCTCATTTTTTTCATTTTCCAAAGAACTGTTGTGGAAATATTGCATCAGAGTATTAAATGGGAGGGCAGTGCCCCTCCAGAGGTCATCAGGAGGAACAAATCTGCAGCAGACAGGTTGCTGGAGGCCACTGGCCAGTTAGGAGTTAAAGAAAAGAAAGTCGGGCTTTGTGCACAGACTCTCCTGCACTTAGTCCACCGGTGCAGATCTATCCCTCATTCAAACCTGTGGGAACAAGTGTGTCCAATCTGTAGATCCAGAGCCGTTCAGCTCTTTTCCGTTGTTTTGTGGACCAGTTTGGATCTGACTGTAGGATCGTGGCTGTGAGGGCTTGCCAGCCATGTTCAATAAAGTGTTTGACTACTGGTCGCTGTGTGTTATGGCTTTTTGTAATGTTGTGTCTGTGTTGTGTGAAGCGTGTTAAAATGCTATTTCCTGTTTCTCCCACATATCTCATTTTACAGATTTTGCACTGAATTAAATACACAGTTTTTGGTTTTAGGGTTACCTGCTTGTGTGATGGGATAAACGGTTTTGTTAAACCTGTTTTGTATCCAGCGCAGTTGGTTAAAAAAATCACTTTGACCTTTGACCTTAGGTTGTTGTAGGGGTCTCAGCTTGGCCTGAACCAGAAAATCTTTCAGGTTTTGGTTCCGTCTGTAGGCCGCAATTACCCTGTGATTTTGCAGTAAGTTAGTCTCTGATTGGAATTTAGAAAAGTTTTGTTTGATTTTATGAATTAGTTTTCCTGCCGAGGGAGAATAAGTGGTGACCAAAGGCAATAATGGTGATGTGTCCTTGGGTCTGGACTCCAGGAAGGAAGCTTTACATGTGTTCAGAAATGATCTAGAATATCCTCTTAAGGATAGTGCTGAAAACAGTATCCGAGTGGCTTCCTTGAAGTCGCTTTCCTGAGTGCAGATTCTGTGGAAGCGAAGTAGCTGGGATTTAATAAGACCCGCATATGTGTGCTTTGGATGGTAACTGGTTTTAAAAAGCAACGCGTGTGTGTCCGTGGGTTTAAAATAAACTTTTATGTCAAGTTTGTGTGTGGAGCTGAAATTTGGGCCTTTAAAGGTTGTGGTGTCTAAAAAATCGACTGATTTAGCATTGGTGGATGATTTCAGCTTCATGGATGGGTTATGTGTATTTAGCGTGTTTAGAAATAGCTGAAAGTCTTCCTCCGAGTGAGTCCAGACCCCCCAGATGTCATCTAGATATCTGTAATAATAAAGTGGTTTCTTTACACATTTGTTTAATGCCTCCGTCTCCCATTGTGCCATGAAGATATTTGCATACGCTGGAGCAAATTTCTTCCCCATCGCTGTTCCCTTAAAGGAGACATAACATGAAAAACCCACTTTTTTATCCGTTAACACAGTGTGTTTCACATTTTAAGTGTCTAAGTGAGCAAAAAGGCTTATATTATTCACTGGGGTTGCTGTTTAGATATTTAATAATTAAGTTTTGGGCATATTTGTCCACCCGTTCAGTTTTTCAAATTATCTATTAAATCAGTAATTTATTTCGTCAGGATAACTACCAAACATGGTAATGGCCCTCGGCTAAACACAGAGCCAATCCGCCATTTTTTCTTCTCGCTAAGATTTTTTGTAGTCCTATTGGAAAAATGCAGAATGTCTGGTTATTTTAGCCACACACAGCTCAAAACTGTTCCTCGTTTTAAGGAAGGGTGGTGTGGCAGTATTTAAACCCAGGAGCTGATGACACTACTGCTAAAAAAAAAAAACAGAAGAAAAAGTAGTGTGTGTTTGTGTGTGTGTGTGTGTGGGTGGGTGGGTGTGTGTGTGTGTGCGCGTGTGCGCGCGCGCGCGGTTCGTTCGTGTCTCCTGGCTAGTAAGTACCGAGGGCTTCATCTATCTAAAAGGAGTCATTCCCATCTGAATGTGACAGCACCGGGACACAGCAGCAGAGCGGTAAGCTTCATATCACTCTAAAATGTCGACAAACTTTACTTTAGATTTACGGGCATTAGCAGCACTAAAGCGTTAGCATCCGTCTTGCTATCGCTAGCACATTATGCTAGTAAAGTTAGCACCCAGATTAATGTGGATTTGGCTGATTTTCGTGGAATAAAACGTGATTTCTGATCAACGCCTTCTTTTACACCAGATGATAACCTCCCACTGATTGTAAAAGCAGAGAGCCTGTGTGTTATTCTACGTGAGTGTGATGTAATCTTAGCATCCAGTAAATAAAGTCCCATATCAGCTAAAATGCAGCGTGACAAAGTCATTAAAGCGCGTCAACACAGTGGATTTTAAAGAACAATCTCTGAGTGAAGTGAGGTTAGTTTTTTGTCTCACTGCAGATATAAAAACGAACTCTGCATCAGTCAGACGCAGCAAAGCTCACCGTCTGTATGAGCGTGAGCGTCGGAAAGCTGATAAAATCAGCTGTAAAATAATTAAAACAAAGTAAAAATGTTCCTTTGCTTTTTACAGTCCACATCCAGAAGGCTGGAGCCATGTTTCACTGACAGGCTGTCAGACTAAAGCCCTGATGAGCTCAGCTGGGACAAACTGGTCTGATGTTTAGGTAAGTGAAGATCTGCTTCTCCAAGTCCTTGAGATGCTAGTAAAAATAATTTAGCCAGCTTGCTAATGTTACTTTTCTTCTCCTCTAAGGAACACAGAACGCTCAGATGTTGGAGCTCACGTCACCTACTGAGGAAGGAGACCCACCAGTAAAGAGACGGTCTGGACCAGACCAAAGTGAGTGATGACACACCTCAGCCACCCTCATCATTAAGAACACCTCACCCCCTGAATCACTCCGTCTGATGACAGCAGAGTGATTTATTTGATGTTTTACTTGTTTAGTCTGTTTAGAAATTATTGAATTACATTATTTTCTGTAATCGACCATCTGATCTGGACGTGTACAGAATAACTTTCCCCAAGTTCAGCAGCAGCTGGCCTACAAAAACAGCTGCAGCATGTAGTAAGTCTGTCTGCACTGCTCTCTAATGAGTTTCCTTTCATAAGGAGTCATTTGTATAATTTTAGTGTCACTATTTTATTACATTTGTAGGAAAATATGAAGTCACTGCAGCAACACAAACGTGACTATAAACATGAAAGCTAAAGAAACAACTTTCCTAAAGCTGCTTGTAAACAAAATATGTCATTAAAGTTATCGTCTATCATTGCAGAATATGGCGATGACATCATGGAACTGGTCTTTGGAAAAGTTTTCCCTGAACCAACTCCGTTTCTAGATGAGGTAGAGAAGATCTGCATCTCACCAACCCTCTGGTCTCAGTATTCAGACAACGGAGGTCTCCCACTGTTGTCCAGGACCAGTTTGAAGCCCGCATACTGCCCCTCCCTCATCATCAGGAAACATCAATCCGTATCCTGAGGACAACAGAAGACGGCAGGAGGACAGGAACTCTGAGACCTAGATACCACCAGCACCGGGACACAAAGCACCTGTGTGCACAACGCCTGTTTAACTACTAAAACCTGTTTATTATATAGTTCTACTTATTTGCTGTGAGGTTAATACTTAGAAAATTTGTATTTTAATGTAAACAATAAAAAATCACTGATTGTATGTTTTCTTTTAGATGTAATGGTCCAAACTCAGCCTTGTAGACATTTATTGCATCCTGTAGGTAAATACACAGAACAGGCTCAGGTCCAGGATGACCCAGCATGCTCTTCTTCCATTCTGGCTGTTAGGGATTGTATCAATAACTCAATGCCTACTGATGTTTCCACCTAACGGTATTTATTTAGAATACAGGTCAGATTTAACCATTTGTTAGCAAAGCAGACTGATCTTG